CTAAACACCAGCCTGCTCAGGCCTGCTTTGGCTCCTGGGTTGGGGGTTCTCTGTACCCATCTCAGCGGTGGGCTTCTGAGTGCCAGGGCCTAGAAGCAACCGTGGGAATGTGTGGGGTGGCTTCTAACTCGCTTTTGCCCGTGGGCTCTCCTTCTCTCTTTCAGCGGCCTTCCTCACACAGACTGTCTGCCTGGACGACACAACAGTCAAGTTTGAGATCTGGGACACAGCTGGACAGGAGCGGTATCACAGCCTGGCCCCCATGTACTACCGGGGGGCCCAGGCTGCCATCGTGGTCTATGACATCACCAACACAGTAAACATTTCCCATTGCTTCTTCCTCTGCCCTTCATCTTCTCCAAGTCCCAGGGATTGGGTTATCAAAGCCCGAATCTTAACCCTCTGTTGCTGGCTGGGGGGTTGGCAGATTTCCTATTCGGGGACATTGTGCCAGAATCTTTAGGTGGCAATGTCTTAATTTGGCTGTGCCAGCTTGCAAGTCTCTAGTGGGTGGCCTTGGGCTGAATGCCTTCTCTGTCCCTTTGACATTCTGTCCCTGTCTTCTCAGGATACGTTTGCACGGGCCAAGAACTGGGTGAAGGAGCTACAGAGGCAGGCCAGCCCCAACATCGTTATTGCACTTGCGGGTAACAAGGCAGACCTGGCCAGCAAGAGAGCCGTGGAATTCCAGGTGGGGAGACAATGGACTTGGGGAACGAGTGCAGGAAGCAGCTCCCCCTGGCCTCACCCAGGTTGCTTAGGGGCTTTGGGAAGGGCTGTGCTAGGAGGCAACAGGGAAGCTTCCATCTACTGTCCTGTCATGCCTCAAGCATGGGCCTAGTGGGCATCATGACTCCTGTCTATAATCCCAGTGCCTTGGGAGGCTGAAGTAGCAGGATCACTTGAGGCCATGAGTTCAAGACCAGCCTAGGTGACATAGGAAGACTCTGCCTTTACAAAGGATTTAAAAGTTAGCTGGGCTTGGTGGCATACACCTATAGTCTCAGCTACTTAGGAGACTAAGGCAAGAGGATTGCTTAAGCCCAGGAGTTTAAGGCTGCAGTGATTGCGCCATTGCACTCCAGCATGGCCAAGAGTGAGGCCCCATCTCCTTAAAAAACAAAACAAAAAAACATCAGGTGCAGTAGCTCATGCCTGTAATCCCAACACTCTGGAAGCTAAGGCAGGAGGATTACTTGAGCTTAGGAGTTCAAGACCAGCATGGGCAATGTGGTGAGACACCGTGTCTACAAAAAATATAGAAGTTCGCCAGGCATGGTGGTGTGCCACTCAGGAGGCTGAGGTGGGGTGGATCACTGGAGGCCAGGAGGTTGAGGCTGCAGTGAGCAGTGATTGTGCCACTGCACTCCAGCCTGGGCAACACAGTGAGATCCTGTCTCAAAAAAAAAAAAGAGGAGGAAGAAGAAGTACTTTAGTCTCTGCTAACCCTAGACACTCAACTTTTCTTCCTGTAATTTTCCCAGTTTCTTGTCCTTCCAGAAATATGCACGTAGTTTTTAAT